ACACATGGTTGGTCCTCATGAAATGATGCTTGAGTCCAAATGATGATTCCTGCCATTTTGGGAAAGTTTTGGTAAAGAGACAGAAACAAGCAAAAAGACATTGAAAGCCTAGTAGCTCTGATATTGACCCATGGTTGCTGGGAGTGGAGACATCTTTTCTTCCTTTGTCTCTTGAGTGGTTCAAACGTGGGCTCTGGCAACAAGCAGGTGAGACCTGGTTGGGGTTCTGGTTGACCTGCATACTAGCCGTGGGCTCTTCAGCAACACATTTCACCCTCATGATCTCAGCTTCTCATTTGTAAAATTGAGGTGATAGTTATATGTCATAGGGCTGCTGTCACGGTTAAATGAGATAATGTGTTTTGGATATTTAATAAGAAGACAGTGTCTAAAAAATAAGCATACAGTAGTAAATAGCTGCTTTTACTATTTTCATTGTTTTTATCATTGTTATTATTAGTACTATTGTTATTTATTAGGCCTAAGAGATTCCCTGAGGCATTGACCTTGTGAAGATGTCTTGTATAAAGAAGATTGAGAAACTCTTTAGAAATATCCTTTCTTATGTTAGAAAAGCAACTAAAAGTATTTTCTTCTCATGTGCCTAAATATTAGGCATATAACAATATAGAAATCAATAATAGAAAACTTGATGTAGTAGGTATAGGATTTCTGGAAGAGGTTGGTTGTTCAGATTACACAATTCATTTGGGTGCGTTATAAGGCATTCTATTCTTTGTCTCTTATTTCATCCTTTCTGCACACTTTTGAAATACTATTTATGTCCCTATAGGTAAACCCATCTAATCACAGACTCCTGTTTGAAGTATTTGATGAAAACAGATTGGTAAGTGGGTCCCAGTTTTTCATTTTTGCTTCATTTTTTAAAAAACTTAATATTTAGAGCAGCATCTTTTCAAACTGTGTTTATGTTGTACTTCTGATAGTATATGTGCCCCCCCCAAAAGACTGTATTTTTGTTCCATTACCAGTTCATGATTCTAACAAAATATTTTTGTATGTCTAGGACAGAAATTTTATTTGTATATATATGCATATATATATATATATATATATATATATATGCATATTTATCATAGTTAATATTGGTGAAAGTCACACTGATGATATATCAAACCATATACGTACGCTCTTCTGCTGGGAACATAGAGAGGCCGGCAAACCTGTGGTGAGACCACAACTCATGTAAACAAACCTTTCAGGGATTTTAATGATAAGACAGACTACAATACTGTCTCCTATTCAATAGTGAATCTATAGTGATTTTCTTTGGGAAAGTAAAAATCTAATTAACAGTAGACAGCAAGAAGTGAGCCTATATTTAGCAGGTGAAATTAAGCTGTATTTTAAACATGGCACTTTCTCAAGGGAAATTAGTAAAAAGTACCTTTAAAGAACCAAAGATATGCCTGAAGCATGAAACTGACACAAACTAATGTTTTTATATATAGATTGATAGATAGGTAAGATATAGATATATATCAATATATAACTGATAAAACTAAGATTTTGTTTTAGAAATGGGATTTCAAAAGCATGTCTGGCTTACAGCCTTTTGCCAGTTAACTAGAATGTATCCATCCAGTACCCATGAGTCAAGTGTGCCAACTATGAAAACAAATGTCACTGTGTTATGTGTAAGCTTTTGAGTTACTCTTAGAAGTGGTATTATAACTCTAGTCAGTTGTCACTCAAATTTACTTTCCCTGAAACTTAGCATATATTTTTTTGGTTAAAATGAATGTTCTTATGAACGCTTCTTGCTGCAAGAATTCACCGGAAACCCCCAAGTTTTTGAATGGCTTGAGATGAATAGAATATTTGATTGGGAGAAGCCTTATAATACAACTCAGTTAACCCCCTGTCCTTCCAACTGAGAGAAGTAAGGTCCAGAGTCCTTACGTAATTTAAACATGCCAATTAGTTATACGCCCTGCTGGGGCCTACTGTTCTAGCCTCAGGCCTGTGGTGGTGAATAGCGAAGCTTTTCACCCTGATTATAAAATTCGGGAGTGTATTTCATCTCCTACACTTGGTATATTCCCCCAGATTAGAAAGCCAACAGATACCTTTTTTTTTTTTTTTTAATGGGGAACAGCCATGGTCATTGGTCACACATTGCTTTCATGCTACAGTGGCATAGTTGAAACTTTTAGGAAGGGTGCAGCTCACAGTGGCCCATGCGGGGATCGAACCGGCAACCTTGGTGTTATCAGCACCACGCTCTAACCAACTGAACTAACTGGTCACCCCCTGATATCTTTTCTATTAAAAAAATATAGTTGGGCTCTCGGTGGCTTTGTATGGAACTTAACATTGTATACCTTGGGTGGTAATTAGTCATACCGCATAACTAAATCAGCCTTGTTGTGGGTATGAAGTTATTTTCTTGCTAAACTGAATGAGCGATTCTACGGGGGGTGCAGCTGTCAGCACCCGCTCTCCATCCAGGGAAGACTGTGAGGTAGGCGGTGTTCAGCGCAGTGACAGTAAGACCCTGGTGACATAGATGCAGCTGCAGACGAACCCTCATCCTCTCGTTTACTGAGTATGATAACACTTCTTCAAGGTGAAGGAAGGATCACCTCAGAGGAAAAATGGCCTCTTGTCGGATGTGTTTTAGTTCATTATTTAATGTTCTTCCATGCAGAGAAATTCACTGTAAAAAGATTTAAGTTTCCCCTTTTCAGAACCTAACACAGCGACTGTCATTGCGGTGACCTTGCCACCAACTATACTTGCCCGCAACTACACTTCCAAACCAAAAAGGGCTTTGAATGCAGAGCCCTGCGAAATCCTGAGTGAATGCAAACTTTATCTGAAAAATTGTTTTTTGTTGATATTAATCCCTAGGTTTGCCCTCAGGCCATCTGCAGTGTTGTTACTATGCAGTGAATGCTGCTGGTGGTGTTTTTTTTTTTTTCCTTTGGCTATTAATCCAGCTAAGACAATAACGTGACTGTAGTGGGACTTGGCAGTTTTAGCATTAAACAAACTAAGTTCCATTTCTCTCATAGAGATCATTTTTGGCATTTGAAACACATGCCTTTAGAAAACAGGTTTGGTTGTATGTAAACATAGGGTTAATCCTCCACACCCTGCCCTCCAGAGCTGTTGTCAAAGCCATGCTTTGGGGATGTTAAAATAAACTTTTTGTCACTCTTTGCAGCGGTCTATTTTTCCCCTCCTTGTTATTACTCCCTCCTAAATAAGCCTCTTTGTTAAAGAACTGATATTCTGGATATGGAAAATAGTAAGCTTAAAACACGCAGAATCTGTCCAAGTTAACTACACATCTGATGACAGGTTTTTGAATGTGGACTTTTTCTTTTATTCCTTAGCTCCTTTTTGGCCCTGTGCAAAAAAGAGCCAAGATTTCCATGTTTGTATCCCAACCGTGTTAATATTGCTGACTTCTTACTGGAAAACAGTTCAGCCTCGGGACAGCCTTTTTTTCTGCGTGGTATTTAACTTACGACAAAAACCACATGTACACCCTTCTTCAATTTTCCTTTCCTTATTTTGGGGTGGGGGGAGGTGTAGTTGTTTTTTCCCTCCTATCTGGCATACGGTAGAAAATGTTTTCTCCAGCTGAGTCCCTTTTCTCTGATCCTTCCATGTCCGACAGTCATACTATGTGTGAGATCAAAACCCCCACCTCCCGCCCCCGTGAAAAATCTGGTGGTAGCAAGAGCCAGAGCACTAACTGGCAGTGTTGTAAGTTGTGCCCCTCCGCTTAGCTATTTTGTTGCTTATAGATCATGGTCTAATTATTTAGCATTAAAGGGACAATAATTCTGTGGGGTGTGTAACCGTATTTATAGTACGTTTTATTAGTTTGCATTCCATGGGGGTAGTGTGGTGCTATCATAAATAACAGGAACGCAAACCTCCGAGGCGTGGGGAAGGGTTTCCCGGGAGCCAAGGCATTTTTTACTTGTCGGCATTTGGTTCGGCGGGGGAGGTGGGGGAATACCGCGTGTGCTCGTGTGTTCGGTGCCAGGTCTCTCTCTGCATTGGTGAGAGAGAGTTCGCGTGCCCGACTCCGTTCGAAAAGAACTGTCTTGTGAATGTGATGCGGTTTAGATTTATAGCAGCATGGCTCCGAGTGTGTTTGCTGCATTCGTCAGCTGTGAGAGCTCCCTGCTGGGGCCACTCCTGTCTGATGGAAAAGCAGCAGCTGGGAAGGTGCTGTTTCAGGCTCTTGCTGTTTAAAAAAAAGTTAGAGAGAGAGAGAGAGAGAGAGAGAGAGAGAGAGAGAGAGAGAGAGAGAGAGAGAGAACCCGCGAGAGGGGGGAAAACTCCACTAAGTCCACAAGCTGGCATTGGAGGGGGAGACGGTGGTCATGTGGTCCTGGCCATCCTACCCCCTGTCACAGTGTGGATGAGAGCTTTTTGCTCTTATCCAATCATGCCTGGAATGCAACTTGCCACTTGGGTTATTTCTGCTATCTGTCGCTCTTGGTGCGGCAGTGCTAACGGTTTGGCAGATGGGACTCCTTTTCTTGGAGTTTGTGTCTTCAGTTTTTGACTTCTGGCAGCGTCGGGCGTGTTGTTGCTGCTCGCCCTCTCCCTCCCTGCCCCCGTGGGCACCATGGCCCATCGGCTTCGGTTTCATTTTGGCTCTGGTCGCAGCAACACAGCCCCCGAATCAGAGATCCTCGACCAGGAGAGAGAAGACGACTTTTTCATGGCATTCCATACCCTGCCACGGAGGAGCGGCCCTCACCCCTTCGCCCACAATGGAGCAGAGGACGGCGGCAGCCTGCAGGAGGCCGTGGGCGCGCTCAAGCGCAGCACGTCCATGTTCATCCCGCAGCTCCTGAGTCCCGTGGACGCGCGGCCCACCCGGAGCTCGTCGGTGCAGATCTCGCTGCAGCGCAAAGCCGCGGATGGCGCCCCCGACACGTGTGGGCTGTCGGAGGGTCTGGATGGCGACGCGGGGTCGGTATCTCGGGGCAGCTGCCGGGAACCCCCAGAGCCCCAGGCCCCTGAGAACTCCCTTCCCAGGGATACCAGGGGTTCAGGCCCCCAGGTCAATGGCACGTGTGGCCGTCGAGCACGGGGCCCTGTCCTTGCCGATGACCACAAAGACGCTGAACTTGCGAACACCCGGGGTTCCGAGGGTGGCGGGCTCCGGATCCAGCACCGAGCCTCCAGCGCCGACGTACGCCAGGTGAAGCTGACACCCTTCGGGGCTGATGGCCAGGGCAGCCCATCGGCGCCGGAGCCCAGGCGCTGGTCCCTTCAGCACGTTCCAGATGCTTCTGGAAGCTCTGGGAAGCGGTGCTTTGTCTTCCAGTTGCAGCAGCCATCTCCAGGCATGCCAGGGCTAGGTGGTGACTTGAACTTCGGGTTCACAGGCACGAAGGGGGACAGGTTGGTGAGGTACCCCCGCATCCGGCTGGAAAGGAGCACCTCGTACCCCACGCAGCCCCGAGCGGAGCGCAGCAGCCCCACGGAGGAGCGGGGCCACCCAGAGACGCCACCTCGGGGCCACAGGGTGGCTCCCGAAATCCACAGGACGAATTCCGTGGAAAGGACGCCACAGGGTCAGGGCTGCACGTTTAAGATCAGGCAAGATCAAAACGCAGGGCAGCAGCATTTCAGAATTCTCGTGACTCGGGGGCCGGAGGAAGCCCACCAGAATCCTGAGGAGAGCACCGCCACCAGCCCTGGTTCCGTGGTGGCTGCAGCCCCGGTAAGTTAGCGTGCGTTTACATGTGGCGGCCCATCGGAAGGGGCTGAGTCAAGCCCAGAAAGCTTATTTCTGCAGTGTAATTAAAATAAACTTCATCCTCCTTCCTCGGGGAGTTTCCCTGCTTCAGGCCAGTGTAACTTAACCGTTGGCCGAGTTGTGGGAGCCTGATTTGTGCTCCAGTGTTTGTTAGAGTTCCATGAAACTGGTTAGCATTGCAAAAAATACCTTTCCTTTGGGTACTCAAAGCCAGACAACTCTGTCTGTTTTGAAAACCCACCCCGCCCCTGCCAACCCCTCTTTGCCCCTCCTGAATAAAAAGATTTTTAAAACTTATTGCTTTGAGTTACCCTGCCAGGGCCCCAAAACGCTGATACTGGAAATGCATGTAAAAGCGATTTGCAAATAGCCGGTGACAACACGTTCCCTGAAAAAGAATCAATTCTAATACAGGTGAAAGAATATAGCCAAAAACTTGAGTCTAGCCTCTTAATAATTAAGTGTAGGTACAGTGTGACCAATTCTTCCTAATGTCCTTTTTGCCATAGAGGGCCAGCCCTCGTTATATCATTTATTGTCTTTTGGATTTTTTTTTTGTCCCTTAATACTGAATGAGAGTAGTCACACGTGTAAGAAATGTGTTTTTTGAAGCAGACTGGCTAGGTGAAACTGACTGGGGACTTGTTAATGGTCAGGTGGCATGGCCATGCCATTTCTCACCGCCCACTTGAGTGTCTAAGCCGGGATGCTGTATATAGAATAGTAAGTGCCCTGTCTCCAGCTGTGGACACAGATGCTCTACAACAGATTTTAGCCTTATTGCTCCTATGTTCCTGCTCTCTCCCTTTCAGGGAAATGGAGTACAGAAAGACAGCTGCTAACCCCACCGGGCAAATCATGACTTGGCAGCTTTCATCGTTTGTAGTGGGATGAAAAATTTCACAAGTTAGCTTTCTTTTGCTAGTAATCACTAACCAGCAGAGCTTTTTTTTTTTTTTTAAGAGAACAAGCACCTTATATTTTTGAATTGGATTCTCCCCCACCCTCCTCACCCTCCCAAATTTCGTGTTATGACTGGTTTGAATATATGATTATGAAACGTCTAGGGGACTTTTTGTGTAGGTTTCATTTGTGAATTGTGACTTTTCAAAGTGGATGACTGAGTGTTACTATAGAATTGTATCATTTATTGCTTTATGTTTGGCCATTCAGGTAAACGTGATCACCACTCCATCATTTATTTTCACCACTTCGAAGGGGTAATCAGATACTAAATGCAAATGTTTTCTTGGTATTATTTAACTGCTTCTTCTTATCCCTTCCCTAAGCCCCTTTCTTTTATTATCTCTGACCCCTTTATTAGGAAATATCTAAGTGCTTTGTCTTGGTCTGAACCAATATCATTTGTATACAGTGGTTCAAATTTCAATAAAACTTTGATATTATAAGAGCTTTTCATCTTCACCCCAATGAAGTACCATCCTGACAGTTGTGGGCCTCATTGGGCAGCACAAATTCATGCTGACCTTGGACCCCCTACCCCAGGAAAACTGACAAACAAAATGCATTTCCTAACGTTTTGATAACTGATTATATTACCAAAAACTTACGTAAATCATTTGTACAGTAAGATATGAAGGACAAATTGACTTATATAATTAAAGTCTTCTTTGGCTTGAAGTTTATAATATAATTAGAAAACCGATAGGCTACACTAAAAATTATGTGTACCTTACATACAAGGGCTCTTATAACTTGCAAAGACTATTATAGCGGAAAACACATTTCTTCCAATTTGGAAATTGAAGTTCTCGAATAAAGAGCTTTTCTTGGAGAGTAAGTTCTGTCTAGCACAAGGTAGCTTTCATTTTCATAGGTGTATTTTTGTACCTATACATAACCATCAGTAAGTGGTTACTAAGATGTTGGCTTTCTTTTAAGCAAAAACTTTTTTTTTCTTGAAGAAGCAAAGAGAAAACTGGTCACATAACAAAACTGTCTGCTCCATTCAACACTTTGTACGTGTTTCATATGGGTTAGGGGTGTTAAGTGTAGGCAGCAGCTGCCACGGCCGTATTTATCTTGAGGGAAAACATTTACTGCGGCGTCTACAGTCTGACTGCCACCAAGCCTGTTTGATGTTTCAAGTATCTGCTGCTTTGGTCAGAAGGGCATTTCATTATTAGTTGACATGAAAAAAAAAAAAAACCACTAAAATCTATTGCAGTCTGGTTTTTGAACGATGTCAAAAATGTTTCTTTGGGAAAATCACTCAGGATTCCTTTTGCAAATGTGGTCGTATTTCATAGTCGATGCCTTAGACCTTGTTACAAGGTCTGTGAGTACTTTGCTCAGTCTGTGCCTCCCAAACATCCTGTCTTGAATAACTCTAAAATGCACCATGACTCCAAAAACATGTTAACCAGCTAAATTCCCAGGAAAAAAAAAACAAAAACGTGGCAATGAACCCTTTTGTTGTGATGACCGATTTTCCACACAGTCTAACACCTTCACAGTAAAATAGAATTGGTTCTTACAGTCATCAGTTATAATCAGTTATAATATTTAAGAGGTCTTCGAACTTCTCAGTTCATTTGTGGCATTATTAATAGTCATTTAACAATTAACTTTCTTAAATTAGTTTTTGAGTTATTTGGTCTGGTTATAAGCTTCTTCCCTGCATTAGAGTTATTTATTCCACGGACGTTGAATCACTGTTGACCAGCATTTGTGCCCCCTTTCAATTCGGATTCGTGCATAGTAACTGCTGGGCTCTGCATTTTATGAGCTTCAGGAGCCAGTTTTCTGATCCCATTAATGTCAGGAAGTGTTGAAGACCCACGGCGTGGTGTCTATAACGTTACACTGGATGTCAGCTCCTTGCTGACATGGAGTTCGTAATGTCCGCAGCGGGAAGAGGGCCACATTCTGACACTCACTGCATAACACCAACAGGGAAGGTACTTCCTTCCCAGCTTCTCTGAACTTTCCCCCTGCGCCCCCTCAATGGACATACACTTCACAGAAGTAGTGTGGTGTCTTTGGTGATTAAAAAATTCCTTTTACTGAACAATAAAGGAATATCAAAACTTTTTATTTGTGAGGGATTTTACTTGCCTCTATTTCAGAAAAGGGTGATTTTACTGTACAGAAAAAAGAATTTGACAGTAGTATTAGTTGATGTCTTTTTTACCTTAAAAAATAATTCTATGACTATATGCATAAACCACCCCTTTATTTAAAAACCCAACAACATTGTAACAGATAAGAAAAACGTTAGTCTTCATTGACTTGGTTTCCGATTGGATTCTATGAAGACACCTCCTCCCTCTCCCACCCCCCGTCTTGGGTATAGTAGTAATTTCTCTATGAGAATATTCCAACATTATGCAACAAAATTTCACGCAGGGATGTTTTGAAAAGCGTGGGCAGTACACAGGGGCGGCACTGACACATAGGACCTGCGGTGAGAGCTCCTGTTTCTATAGCACTTCACCATTTGAAAAGTGCCTTTATTTATTCAGCCTATAGAACTACCCCATTGCAGAAGCATCATCTCACTCAGCCTTCCCAACTGTCATGAGAAATAGAGCTTTCCTGTTTCTGCGGAAGATATGCAATAGTGTCACCAGGTGTGACAACTAGTATACTGTCACATCACTTTGTGTATATATAAAGGGGATTTTAAGACTGTGTGTGTCTTGCACAATTAAAAAGCCTGTGTAGTCAAAAAAGCAGTTGAGTGCTTCCTATATGATGTGACATTTTTGCGGAAAATTTTGGAAATGGCCCTCCACCGGTGCCTTGCAGCACTGGCCTAATGGAGAGCAAGGGGGAGCCCGCAGAGCCACGCTGGGCAGTTGACTGACATGTCCTGGGCAGATGCCCTCTGCAGGTGCTCCCTCATCGGTAAAAAATGAGACTAAAAGTCCAGCCCACAGGTTTATGGTGAGGTTTAAATGAGGCAGTGTATGTGTATGTACCTGGTTGGTGTTCATTGTGGCTTTTTTCCTTCTTAACCAAGTATGTACTATACAAATCTTTCTCCAAGGAAAGTAATTAGGTTAACTGAACAATCAAATTTTGATCAGGATGCATGAGACACAAAGCAACATGAATTTAAGGCATACCTGGAAATGAATGTTTCCTTGAGTAACTGGCTTCCATGTCCTGCTGTCACCTCATTGGTCCCACGTGTTTATCTGTTGGTAATGAGCACCTCAGAGCCCTAATACTGCTCTGGGGTGATGCAGTCCCTGAAAAGACTTGCATTCGTTCTTGAGCTATGCATTGTAGCAAGGGACCTTTAATTGTATTTGCTTTATTGAATCTTGAAACTTGGAAGCATTTACTTCAGTTGGCATTTTAGTCATGTTATAATTTTACCATGTCGTTTTGCTATAATGTTCCCAGTGGTTAAGTTTACTTTTCTTTCTTATTGGCTGGGGCTTCTGAGCAATCATCTAATGTTATCTGTATATCTACATTGTGTGATTTACAAATGAGGGCAGTATTTGAGAAAGGGGCCTTATTAGATCCCGCCTTTTAGAGGGTTTTCGTAAATGCCACGACTGCTTCTCTTGGCCACATCTGGAGGCAGAGTTCTTAGGCATTGATATCAGTCTATAATTTTATAATACATGTTAATAAGAAATTTGTTATCTCTACATGCAAGTTCACAATACCAGAAGTTTACTCCATGTCAGAATTGTCTTTAAATTTAATAAATGTTGGGTTTCTTTGTAGAGTTGATGGTTTAAAACTACTTGCAGCTAATCTAAATGGTAATCTATTTTGTGCAACTTGCAATAATCAAGCAGATTTTAAAAATAAAATAATTAACTGCATATTATCACTGCTGACATAGATTACTGCTCTAAATACATTGACCTTTTTTAAAACTCTTTATGATGCTACCAAGACATTTGCAATAATGAGGAAAAAGCAGAAAATGCATGTGTATCTAATGCATGAGTACAGGAATATCTCTGTTTCCTCTGTAA